TGTGGGTTCTGGGGATTGACAGAGTCCCCCATCACAGCAGTGTGGGTTCTGGGGGTTAGAAGGTAAGGGCCGACGGCGTCCTGCCAGAGTCAACACACCTCTCCTTCATTCCTCAATCTTTGGCTGCCTCAGAACCCTGGGCCTGGCCCTGCCCTCAGCACATCCTGACCCTGACAATTTTAAGAGGAGGTGGGCACCTGGACCCCAGGGTGGCTTTCAGGGGCTGTGGGGGGCACCCCAAGAACCAGGCTAGATGGTACAGGTTTGGAATTGTTACCCCACAAGGAGCCAGAGATGCAGGAACAAAGCTGGTAGGGCCTTGAGGGCTCTCAGCGAGGGAGACCCTATAGGCTCCACAACTAACCTTGGGCACCCATTCCTTGAGGAGCTGGTATGAGCCGCCATGGATCCTGGAGTCCAGCTCTGTGACTGATGGGAGTATGTTTTGAGGCCTTACTCAGGCTTTGAGTAAGGATGGAAAGCGCTGGGTGTCTGGTCACAAGCGCCCTCAGCTTCCTGTGGTGCCTCCCTCCTACAGACTCCTGCTGTCACAGCTAATGAGGCCCCTACACAACCTCTAATTGGACTTGCCTGGGCCGAGCTGAGATTGGGCTGCCTGGGTGCTCTGAGCAGTGTGACCTCCTGCGTCATCAGGATGGAGGGAGGGAGGGTGGACTGCTACCAGCACATTTCAGGGTGGCACTCAGCCCACTCTGCTCCAGGAAGCAGAGGACTGGGGGGACAAACACTGGCGCCCAAGATGGGATGGGGCTGGGGTTGACCTCAAGGGGCCAGGGACTCAACAACCCACACGAGCATTTCAGGGGATCACACAGCAGTGTGCTGTGGGGCTGGGCTGGGAGCAGCTGTGTCCCTGCAGCTGCTGGCTGGATGGCGGCTGCAGGGCTAGATCCCTGATCCTCAGGCACAGGCTGGGTCCCTCTGGAGCCATCAGCCTCTGGAGCCCGATACCAGGGCTTCCACCGCTGTGTCCCTGACACAGGCTTGGGGAAGCGGCTAGCACACCTGGAGAAGGGGTTTGGACATGAGAGCCCAAACCGTGAGGTTTCAGGGCCGAGAGGGGAGGCGTGTTCCCAGTCTCTAAGAGGACCTACCTGAAAGACCAAGGCTAAGAAAATGTCACAGTACCCACCCCCGACAGGGGTGCCCAGAGTTCACATACCCTGGGGTCTCTGGTATGGGGGTACAGCAGGGAGCCTCGTTTCTGCCTGGGAATCAGCTGGAAAGGGACAACTAGGAAGGCCTAGGTCAAGGGCTTCTGAGATTTTTTGGGGGGTCACAAACTCTAAGATTGGAATTTTTTAAATCTCTGAAAAGCATACACAGGAGCCACCATCAGACCCTGAGGTCCACTGTATCTGCAGCTTCTGGTGGGAATGGAGAAGCAGGGAGGCGGGGTGTCCAGTGACTTTGTTTGCTATAGGTTGTCCAGAAGACAGGAAGAAGAGGAAGAAGAGGAGGGCCTGGTCCTGGTAGGCAAAACCTAGCACCCTTCAATCCCTAAAGCTGAGGAACTAATGCCAGCCCCTTCCCTCCAGCGTGAACTCCTCAGGAACAGACAGAAAAATCATTTGGTCAGGAGATAACAAGGCCCTCTGCGCAGCTAATGAGAGACGGGGGCGGGAGTGGAAGGGGCGGCTGGAGACAATTGGCAGCCAGGATGTTCCCCAGAGGGCCCAGCCACATACATACAGGCTGCAGTCCTCACAGCCTGAGCCTGGAGCCTCACAGATACGGCTAGACCTCCAACTGTATCACAGACTCCCACACGCTCCCACTCACCAAAGGTCTAGTGGCCTCAATGATCTGGCCAAACTGTTTGGGCCTGGACTCCTCCACTCTTGTCTGTGGTGGGACAAAGTGGAGGCCTCAGCCCAGCTCCTCTCCAGGGAAGGCAAAGGAACTTGAGGAGTGCAGGACAGGCTCTGGAGCCCTCGCCCGCCTTGTCACGCTCCAGCCCCTTCACGGAGGAGGTCCAGCTCCTTCCCTCTGCTCTCAGATCAGGGCCAGGCAATGTGGGTGCAGGACCTAGCATTGGGAGTGACACGCTAGCCCGTTTGTCATTGTCATGCTCATTGTATTTGGAGATGTAGGCATGTGAAGCCCTGACTGGCACAGGGGTCCCAGAGAGACAGGAGTGGGAACAGGCTGCCAGAGCCTTCAGGAATTGGCTGGCATATGTGCCCAGCACAGGAACCGGCACCTGTAAACCATTGCCCTTGGGCTGGAAACTGAGAGAATCGGGAGGTGGGAAGGGGGACTGCTAAAACTCTCGCCCTTACTGACCCTCAGCCAGCCCTGCGAAGGGACATGTGACCTCGAGTGTGTAGTCTGCATCCGGGGTGCTGCCGAAAAACTGTGCAGATTGAGTGAGGGGGTGTGTTGTGTCCTTTCTCCTCCCAGGTTGACCCTTCCATCCCTCTGGGAACCCCTCACCATGAGCTTGCCCCAGGAAGCCCTCCTGAGAGGTAAAGGGACAGATGGGAACTGGAAAGAGATTTAGGACAGACCAGGCCTAGCAATAATGCCCTTCCCATCTGCCTTGCAGGTGTCACGATGTGCCAGACGTTCAAGGAGCCCTCGTGCCTGTGGTGGGAGAGCTGGTGCCAGTGGAGAGGGCCTGCGCCCAGCACTGCCTGCGCCCCCAGCACTCCCCAGGGCTCAGGTGTGCCTTCGGGTGTCTCCAGAAGTGGGTGGAGGCACATGTTGGTGAGACCAATCTCCCTGGGGCCACCTTCAGTCTCTCCTGCCTCCCCTCCAGAGTCAGCCAGCACCCACTGGTCCCCACGCCCTTCTTGGGCCTACTGCTGCTGCTGCTGCTGTCCGTCCTGCTGCTGAGCCAGTCCCCGACGCCCTCCTTACCACAGCTGCAGCTCTACTACCTACAGCCCCCGCCAGTGTGAGCACCCTTCCCAGCAGACCGCCCTCCGTGCCACCACTGTGCCTCATCTGCCACTGACTCAGAGCACTGGGCCCACATCCTTCAGCTGTCTCCATTGACCATGACCTCTCCTGGCTTTCTCCTGCTTTCTTAACAATAGCAAATCATGCAGTAATGACTTCAGCACAGGATGATTTCCTCACCAAACAAGTGCCAGGGAGCAGGGCAACTGGACCTCAGCTGAGTCACAGTGGGACCAAAGGTCCCTGGGCTTTCTCCATCCTCTGCGGTTTCGGAGGCTGCTAGTGCAGCATCCTCAGCACAGTGCAGGGCTCGGGGGAGCGGGCTGTCCCCGACTTGTCTCTGTGTGATAGACTCTGCTCCAGGGGAGGCGGTAGACTAGGGTGGGCCCCTGCACCGCCAGTGCACCGGCTGGTCAGTCCGTTTCTGAGCAGGCGAGCCAGAGGCTTCTCTGACAGATCCTCATTGGCAGCTCCACAAAACATGGGGCCACACAGGACTGCTGCCTTGCAGGCCTCTGATCCCTCGAGTTGCCAGAGTGCTGTGAAGGCGCCTCTGAACCGTAAGCGCTCCACACCGGAATTGTGCTTCCAGGAACGCTAGCTGACCCTCGGCTCCCTCAGCTTTCCCTCATCAGCACTGGCTCCATGATTTGCAAAGACAGGGCCAAGTGGGGTGCAGTCTGAGAACACCCCCTCCCACCCCACGCGTTCAGTTTTGAGAGGCGGCGCAGGGGGCACCCGGGCGGCAGGGGAGGGTTTTAAGGTCAGCTGGACAGCCCAGGAGGAGACCCAAGTCTGGTGATTCAGGGAGAGCAGGCTGGCAGCCAGAGCAGGCTCTGCGAGTGAGATGCAGCCCAAAAGCTGTTCCCAGTGCCCAGGAGAGGGCTGAGAAGGGCAGGCGCAGCCGCTCGGGAACAAGACCCGCCGCCTGTGGAGCGGCGCGGGGAGCCAGGAGGTCTGAGCGAATCCAGGGAGAACCGACCTGAACTGGCCCGAAGGTGGAGGGAGCCGCGGGAGGAGGGTTGTATGAGGGGGTCAGGGAAGGGCGGAGGAGGGAGTTTGGAGAAACGTGAGCTCTTTTGGCCGCACCCTGAGTCCTGTGGCGAAGCAGCCAGGTGTGGTCTGCTGGAGAGAGCTGTCAGATTTCAGGGCATGGGGTACCGCCTCCTGGAGGCCGGGAACCGCTGCGGGCGCCGCCTACCAACTGCTTCTGACCGCAGCCTGGGCTCCCAGCCGCCAGCAGCAGCTCCGCCTCCACAGCGTAAAGGCCAATGAGGACTCGGTCCGCCTCCAGGAAATGCAAATTTAGGAAGGCGGCCTCTTCGACCTCTGTAGGCCAATCAGGTCGCGGTCCGCTCGCCCCCGTGCTCGCAGACTCGACAAATGTCGCTGGGGGCGGGGCCTCGGGAGCTGCGGGCTTTGATTGGTTACCTGCTCCTGCAGCAGGACCGCGCGAACTCCTCCGAACTCTTGGAGACCTCCAGGGGCGGATAAACAAAAGGCCCAGAGAGGTTAAGACACTCCGACCCCCGCCTGGCGTGGTGGTGCACGCCTTATAGAAGCAGACAGGTCTCTGAGTTCGAGCCTAGCCTGGTCTACAAAATGAGTTCCTGAACGACCAGAACTTATACAGAGAAACCATGTCTTGAAAAGCCGGGGGTGGAGGGGGGAGAGCGGAACCTGACCCAGCCGAGCGGTGGTGACAGTCGCCTTTATCCCAGCACTGGAGAGGCAGAGGCAGGCGGATCTCTGAATTCGAGGGCAGTCTGGTCTCCGGAGTGAGTTCTAGGACAGCCAGAGCTACACAAACCCTGTCTTGAGGGGAAAAACCCGACCCATCACACAGCCGGGTCAGGGGCCTGCGACTGTGACAAAAGGAGAGTGGAGTGGCGAGGGAATTCGGAGAGGACAGAGACTCGGTCAGACCCTGGAGGCTGCGGGGCCAGCGAGGACGAGGAGGGCCACGTTGCAGTGAGACGGCGCGCCCCCTCCGGGGCCCCTCCCCACACACCCACGCGAGGGCGGCTCAGCAAGAAGGCGCGCTCGCTCCTGGTGGGATTGGCTCTTTATTGGGCTCAGGGCGCGTCCAGCAGCAACAGCTTCTGCATGTACGAGTCTAGCCAGCGGCGGCGCTCCAGGGCGGCTAGCAGGCGCGCGCGCTCCCGAAAGGCTGCGTCGTCCGCTAGCGCCAGGCTGCGTCGAGACAGGGGAGTACCCAAGTCAGCCCAGGCCCGGCCGGGGGCGCGGAGGCTGCGAGAAGAGAGATGCAGTGGCTGAGCGCCAGACCCCATGTGCCGCCGGTCCCCACCGTGTTCTAACGTCAGGCCCTCCCCTCCCCCACTCACCCCCCCCCCGCGTGTTATCTCGCCTTCCCTTGGGGTGTCTCCTCCCATTCCCGGGTGTCAGGGACCTCACACCTACCTGAACACACCAGCGAGGGGCAGGGCAACACCTGAAGCGGGGCCGGTGCCCCAGGGCACAAGCAGTAGCAGCAGCAAAAGCAGCAGCAGCCGCTCTCGGGGGCTCCTGGACACCTGGCAGGTCTCCATCACCTGTGAACACGGGGGACAGGGTCTCGATGTCACCATCCCGCCCAGAATCTGGGAGCCCACCGTCCAACCCCTGCCACCAGGCTCCCGCGGGGCCCCCTACCGTGCAGTGGACTCAGGAAGCGATGCTCACACACACCCCCTCTTATATACCCGCACAACCCTCGCCTTGGCAGTGACGCAGGCCGGACTGGGGGCACGGGGTCACTCCACCCCACGCTCATTAGGAGCCGCCAGCGGTAATGAGAAGCCTGGTGGGGGCCTCCGCTGCCGTGGCCGCCACCAACTAATTGGGACCCAGAGCTGGTACTGAAGAAGGGGAGTGGAGGGGACAGACAGAGAGGTGGACATAAGGGGTGTGTCAGAGGGATAAAAATAGAGACTGCAGAGGGGGACCATTAGAGCACAAGTCGGGGACACAGAGAGAGGCAGAGGAGAGAGACAGCAGAGGAATCCAAGAGGAGAGAGGGGAGGAATAACCTGCAGACAGGACAGAGACCGGGTGCCCTAGGAAGGAAATAACACCGAGAGGCAGGCCCGAGGGCTCTGGAGATGGAGGGGAAGGCTGAGAGGGTGTGGGAAGGACAGGCAGGCTCAGCAGACAGCCAGGGAGGGAGAGGAGGTGGCAGTGTGCAAACAGGTGAAGTCATGATGTGGGGACACAGAGGCCCTGGGCTCCCACAGACATGCGTCTCCCCGGGTCCCCCAGGGCACTGGGACAGGTTAGAGATAAGGCCCAATCCTCCATACCTGGCATGTTTAAAGGGGGTTCCCAAGGCCACCCCATAGTGCAGCTCGCCTGTCTTGCCAGACTCAGGAGGCAGGAGCAGGAGGATGACTGCAAATCTGAGATGTGTGTACGCTAAATAAGACTCTTATCAAAGTAGGGGGCAAATAAAGAGGGACGCCCTCCTCCCACATTATGGGCAAAGGAGGCAGACAGGAGCCTGGACTCCTATCTCTGCAGAAAGGAGGGGTCCAAGCTTGGAATCCCAAACCTAAAGGTAGTCAGACAGAGCCCCAGACTCCTGGGTTCTGGCAAGGGTCCGCCTGGAAGCCTGGGTTCTCTAGTCTGAAGGGAACAGTGACACAGTGGGATTAAGGTCGAGAGGGGCCGGGGACTTAGATCCCTGGCTTTGGTTGGGTGAATGGAGAGGGCCTAGGGCTTGTTTGTTTGTTTGTTTTCGAGGCAGGGTTTCTTCGAGTAGCCCTGGCTGTCCTGGAACTCACTCTGTAGACCAGGCTGTCCTGGAACTCACAGAGATCCGCCTGCCTCTGCCTCCCAACTGCTGGGATTAAAGGTGTTGGCTACCACCAGACAGCTGGGCCCAGGGCTTTTATATATGGAGAGTTTGTTTTTTGTCTGTTGGGTTGGTAGTTTTTGGAGGGTTGTTTTTGCGTATGTTTGGTTGGTTTTTATTTTTGTTTTAGAGTCAAGGCTTCACACTGTAGCCCAAGCTGGCCTCAAATTTGTGGCAGTTTTCCTACCTCAGCCTCCCAGATGCTGGGATTGAAGGCAAGGACCACCACTCCTGGCTCTTGAGACACAGTCCTGCTAGGCAGCCCAGACTGGCCTGAGTCTCACTGTCACCCAAGATGGCCTCAGCCTTCCAAGAACAGGGATCATGGGCCTGTACCATCATACCTGGCCAAACCTTGGCTTCAAAGGGAAAATAGCCTGGTTAAATCCTAATTCCTCCTTTGCCCTAGCTATGAGGTCCCATGTCTTTGTTTCTTTAAGAACCTCAGCTTGTTGCTAGGCTCCCAGGATTCCTCAGGGAGGGGTCAGGTGCATCCCTGTGTGCCTCTGGGACCCCAGCACCTGCCTCTTCCAGCGCCATTCAGCAGCACCTCCCTGCCTGTCTCTGTCCAGTGCCGGTCATCTGCTGTTTTGGACACCACTGAACAGGTAAGAGACCCCATGACCCCAGTGACCTGCCCCACCCAAGCTCACTCCTCCATCTCCAACCCACTACAGAAGTTACGGGATCAATTGTCGGTAAACAGGGGATAGAGCTCACTGTCAGGAGTCTACACCTCACATCCCTACTTCCCGGAGACCTGGAACTCAGATCCAGACATCACTTAACCCGTGGTCTGAGGACCCCACGTCCTCTCCCCTGTAACCCTTAAGCCCCACTTCTAGGTCCCAGTATTCAAAGTTTCTAAGGCCCTAATTTCTGGCAAGAACGGAAGACATGGACCCTCAGCCCTTCACTCTGTGGGCCTCAAAGCCCAATAGCTACCTTCTTAGGACCATGGAGTCTCCCCTCCCTCTGACTCAGCTTGGGTCCCAGCTCTTCATTCTCCAGTGTTAACATCTGTGCAGTCCTGGTGTCTGAAGAGCCCTGGGAGGAGAAGGAGGTTGTCCCGTGTCCCCTTGGCCACCTGATATCCTCTGAAGGTGGAATCTCACATTTGTGGGACCTTGGAAAGGTGTCATTATGTCCCAGTTTTCAAGGACCCCACTGGTAAATGCACCCCCCCCCCCCGAGAATCCCTGAACTCCTGTAACCTTGGCGACCACAGTTACCACCTCACAGCCGCCAGAGACTTGCCATTGGGTTTTGCCAGAGTCCCTGTGCAGACCTGGTCGTTGGGGAGCCAGTGGGTGTGGCCTCTGGGAGTGTGCCGGCTCCAGGATGCTTTAGTGTTAACCTTTTCCTCCCCGCTCCTTCCGTCCACAGCTACAGGCATCTCTGGGCCATGCAGCACTTCAGCCCCTTCTTCTTCCTCCTCCTCCTCCTCTTCCTCCTCGATGGTCTGGGTTCCAAGGCAGCTCCCTCAACCTCTCTGCCCGTGGGCTCCGACCCCCAGGAGATAATCCAGCCCTCTAGGATGCCTGTTGCTCTAGAAAATTCTACTAGAGACAGGCCTGCCCCAGGATTCCCCGCAGCGGCTCCTCCTGAGCCCTCCAAGACACCACCCCCCAGACCCAGGCTCTCAGGTTCTCCAGAGACCCCAGTGCCTGCCCAGCTCACAGTCACAGAATCCCAGGATGCTTTACAAACAAGCCCCTCCAAAGCAACACTGCCAGAATCTCCTGAGGTGCCCAAACCTGACCTGACTGCAGTTTCCCAGTCTGGATCCCCTGGAACCCAAAAACCTAATCCCTTCAAAACTTCACCCTCAGAATCTCCCAAAGCTGAACACACTGACCCTGCACCAACTACACACCAAGACTCCCCGGAAATCCCTAAGATACCAAGTCCTGGCCCCACCCAGCTCCTCAGCTCCACAGCCCGGGAGACCTATGACCCTGGTACGAACAGAACCCTAAGTTCTGCATTACTACCAACCACCCATGCTGACCCCACAGAAACGCCACAGTCAGCATTTTTCATCACCCACTCCACTCCCACCGACATCCCCCAGACACAGTTCCCCACAACCACCAACCAAAACGCAACAGAGATGGCTGTGACCTCTGCCTTAGGAATCACCTCTGGTCTTCCCACCCAACCAACAGCAGCCTTCAGGGAGGAAGCCACCACATCCCGTGAGCCGGGCTTGAGTCCCAGCCCAGAATCCCCCGCAGCCACCCAAATTGCCACTCCTGGCCTGCCCACGTCAGATCCCCTAGGGACCAAGGAGCTGAATATACCCCAGAACTCAGGCCCTAAAGGGCCAGATATCCCTCCTCCATCGGCACGGATTGCAGGCCCCCCTGCTCCTCCAGACCACCCCAATCAGGTAGCCCCTGGGGTGCTGCAGGCCCCTCAGAAACACAGCCGAGGAGAGACCGTCAATACAATCATCGTGGTGGAGCGAGTGAAGGAGACTGGTGAGGGGCCTGGCCACGGATCTCCAAGCAGAGGATCTCCAAGCAGAGGGCTGGGCCTGGACCCTGGGTCTGAGGGAGGAGGCTGGGCCTGGACCCTGGATCTGAGGGAGGAGGCTGGGCCTTGACCCCTGGGTCTGAGGGAGGAGGCTGGGCCTGCACCCTGGGTCTGAGGGAGGAGGGCTGGGCCTGGACCCTGGGTCTGAGGGAGGAGGCTGGGCCTGGACCCTGGGTCTGAGGGAGGAGGCTGGGCCTGGACCCCTGGGTCTGAGGGAGGAGGCTGGGCCTGGACCCCTGGGTCTGAGGGAGGAGGGCTGGACCTGGACCCCTGAGTCTGAGGGAGGAGGGCTAGACCTGTAGCCTTGGGTCTGAGGGAGGAGGGCTGGACCTGGACCCCTGAGTCTGAGGGAGGAGGGCTGGGTCTGAGGGAGGAGGGCTGGGCCTGGACCCTGGGTCTGAGGGAGGAGGGCTGGGCCTGGACCCTGGGTCTGAGGGAGGAGGCTGGGTCTGGACCCTGGGTCTGAGGGAGGAGGCTGGGCCTGGACCCTGGGTCTGAGGGAGGAGGCTGGGTCTGAGGGAGGAGGGCCGGGTCTGAGGGAGGAGGGCTGGGTCTGAGGGAGGAGGCCGGGTCTGAGGGAGGAGGGCTGGGTCTGAGGGAGGAGGGCCAGACCTGCAGCCTTGGGTCTGAGGGAGGAGGGCTGGACTTGGACCCCTGAGTCTGAGTGGGGAGGGCTGGGTCTGAGGGAGGAGGCCGGGTCTGAGTGGGGAGGGCTGGGCCTGGACCCCTGAGTCTGAGGGAGGAGGGTGGAACCTGGACCCTGGGTCTGAGGGAGGAGGCTGGGCCTGGACCCTGGGTCTGAGGGAGGACGCTGGGCCTGGACCCTGGGTCTGAGGGAGGAGGCTGGGCCTGGACCCTGGGTCTGAGGGAGGAGGCTGGGTGGGACCCTGGGTCTGAGGGAGGAGGCTGGGCCTGGACCCTGGGTCTGAGGGAGGAGGGCCGGGTCTGAGGGAGGAGGGCCGGGTCTGAGGGAGGAGGCTGAGTCTGAGGGAGGAGGCCGGGTCTGAGGGAGGAGGCCGGGTCTGAGGGAGGAGGCCGGGTCTGAGGGAGGAGGCCGGGTCTGAGGGAGGAGGGCCGGGTCTGAGGGAGGAGGCCGAGTCTGAGGGAGGAGGCCAAGTCTGAGGGAGGAGGCCGGGTCTGAGGGAGGAGGCCGGGTCTGAGGGAGGAGGCCCTCTGTTTAAATGGCTGTTCATCTCTCAGGGGTGACTCTGGTCAGCCGCCCGCGAGGCTCCATCAGTGGGTCCCTGTGCCTGTTCTTCGCGGGGACAGGGATGCTAATTGGCATATTCCTCCTGCTGTGGTGTCTCTACCGCCGGGCCTCCAGACACAGGTCCTTTGCACACCACCGGCTCCGGGACAGCGGAGACGAACCGGGTAAGTGTTTGCTCACCCCAGAAGGCCCAAACGGCTCCGGACCCAGGCCTTGTCCAGACTTAGGACAGCCTTCTAAAGAACACAGACACACTCCACACACACCACCCGGCAGGGGGCTGGAGGGGCGGCTCAGCGGTTAAGAGCACTGGCTGCTCTTCCCGAGGACCTGGGTTCAATTCTCAGCAACCACATGGCAGCTCACAACTGTCTGTAACTCCAGTTCCAGGGGACCTGACACCCCACACAGACACACATGCAGGCACAACACCAGTGCACATGAAATACAGATAATCACAAACAAAACCACAGACCCCTGTCCCAGGTAAGTGTAAAGCCTGACCCTACCACGGTCCCAGATTCCCAACACACGCGCGCGCACACACACACACAGTCACACACACACACACACACACACACACACACACGCGCGCGCGCGCGCGCGCGCGCACACACACACACACAGTCACACACACACACACACACACACACACAGTCACACA